CATGAAAAAATGCTCACCATCTCTAGCAATAAAGGAAATGCAAATTAAAACCACACTAAGATTCCACCTCACCCCTGTTAGAATAGCCATCATCAGCAACACCACCAACAACAGGTGTTGGTGAGGATGCGGGGAAAAGGAACCTCTTTACACTGCTTGGTGGGAATGTAAACTAGTACAACCACTCTGGAAAAAATTTGGAGGCTACTTAAAAAGCTAGGACATTGATCTACCATTTGATCCAGCAATACCACTCTTGGGGATATACCCAAAAGACTTGACAACAGGTTACTCCAGAGGCACCTGCACACCCATGTTTATTGCGGCACTATTCACAATAGCCAAGTTATGGAAACAGCCAAGATGCCCCACCACTGACGAATGGATTAAGAAAATGTGGTATCTATACACAATGGAATTTTATGCAGCCATGAAGAAGAACGAAATGTTATCATTCGCTGGTAAATGGATGGAATTGGAGAACATCATTCTGAGTGAGGTTAGCCTGGTCCCAAAAGACCAAAAATCGATGTTCTCCCTCATATGTGGACATTAGATCAAGGGCAAACCACAACAAAGGGACTGGACTTTGATCACATGATAAAGGATATGAGGATAGGTAAAACATAAAAACTAGTAGCAGTTGCCTCCAAAGCAGCAGAGAAACTAAAGCAGATACTTTAAAGCAACTGAGGCCAATAGGAGAAGGGACCAGGAACTAGAGAAAAGGTTAGATCAAAAAGAATTAACCTAGAAGGTAACACCCACGACAGGAAATCAATGTGAGTCAATGCCCTATATAGCTATCCTTATCTCAACCAGCAAAAACCCTTGTTCCTTCCTATTATTGCTATACTCTCTCTACACAAAATTAGAGATAAGGGCAAAATAGTTTCTGCTGGGTATTGAGGGGGTGGGGGGAGAGGGAGGGCGGAGTGGGTGGTAAGGGAGGGGTTGGGGGCAGGGGGGAGAAATGACCCAAGCCTTGTATGCACATATGAATAATAAAAAATAAAACAATAAAATAAAATAAAAAAAGACTCCAGCAGCAATTCTGCCTTGGTCTCCAGCCTGCCCTTCTCTTTTCAGATTTGCCAGGCCCCACAATTGCACGAGCCAGTTTCTTGAAATCAGTCTGTCTCTCTCTCTCTCTCTCTCTCTCTCTCTCTCTCATTGGTTCTGTTTGTCTAGAGAACCAAATGCTATTGTTTCTACATAAGTTGAGTCCTGGGCTTCATGTGCTGGAGGGTTGGTCTTCAGTCTGATGTTCAGGTGCTGGAATCTTCAGAGGTAGGACGGTGGTTAGGTCACTGGTGTATTACCGCCAGGAGGGATCCACACAGTTCTCTCAGGACCCCCAGTTGATTCCTTGTTGTCACCCAAGTGCAAGCCTGACCTGGAATCCCTCTGGCTTCCACCTTTATGACATTTCTTTTGCACATTTTCTTGTCATTGTGATGCCACCCTCCTCCAGCCCCTTAGCAGAGGCTGAACAGAAGGAGCTGCCTGATCCTGCGTTCTCAGCCTTCAGAACTGAGCTAAATAAACCTCTCCTTTGCGCTTTAGTCACTCTAGGGCATTTTCTTACAGCATCCGAAAATAACCTAATACGGCTTGACTAATACAAAGTAAGATCCCAAGAACTGGAATAGCCAACTGTGTTGACCATTAGTTGCTGATCATCTGACCTTGGCACACTTAGGCTTGAGTCTCATTATCTCTAAAATAAGGGATCATATTAGACCAGGGCTTCTCAACCTCAGAACTGATGATACTTTGGGCTGGGTAATTATTTGCTGTGGGGCCTTTCTGATCAATTTTAGGGTGTTTAGTAGCATCCCTGGCCTTAGTCCACTAGATGGCAGTAGTGACAACCCAAACTATCTCCAGGTTTTTCCAAATGTCCCCGGATGGGGCAAAGTAACCTCCCTGTCTTGGGTTTGAGCAACACTGTGTTAGATCATCACCAAGTTGATCTTTTTAACCAAGTTTTAATATATGCATATGTAATATTATGTTAGAAAGGATGTATGCTGAGGCAGCTTTGAAAATTTCAAGAGATATGAATAAAATAAAAATTAAAAAAAAAAAAAAAGAGAAAATTTCAGGACAAAGCTGTTTGATCCCTTAGTGGGATGATGTAGAGGTGATGCCCTAATATTGCACAATTCTTTAAGTAAATAAATTTTTCTTCAGTTCCTCTAAGAAAATAACAACTAGAGAAAGGCCATGAGGATCTGTAACACTGAGCTCTTGACAAGTGACAGCTGTGGGCAGTTACGGGAATATGAAAGACTAGACTAAAAATAAAATGAAGAGAGAAGGACAGAATCCAGCTTTTACCCTCACAGAAATGAGCTTTAGGTGGAAAGTGGTTGTCCTTTCAAATCTAAGCCAACAGTGGCAGCCTCAGTCTACCTAAGTGACAGCTTACCACAGGGACAATGGCAGAGGCTCCTGGGCTTCGTGGATGTCACAGAACTGTAGACACTTCTATGGTTTGCAGTACGTATTGTTTTGCTGAAAATCAAGCTAGGGAAGTTATTTTCCCAAAGAATACTTTTGTGGTCAGGCAGGATGGGGCAAGATATGGTTTGCTGAGTAGCTGTCACCTTATAGAGTCCTATGAGTTGAATATCTCAGAGCAGTCCAGGAGATGGTGCTGTGTCTGGTTTTATGTGAGCCCATCTTTTCCAACACTGTATTTTCCTCAGTCCTTTGGGCATAATTTGAATTTAGTTATACCTCAAATGAAAGATATTTGCATTTGATATTAAACAAAACTTCCATTGTGGTGCTAATCTCCACTTTGAATTCAAAATAAACACATTTCTAGTGTAAGCAAAGTACAAAGCAAGGCTCAGGTTTAAGAACATATTGTGTTCAGGACAAAAAGTTTGTCCTTTGTTTCAATTTTACTTCCTGCCACAGCCAGATGATTTAATGACACTACTGCTGGCAAGGACGAGGAAAACTGACACGAAATTCTTTTAACGCTCATTTTTTCAGCGCCCTGCCTGCTTACTGATACAGTCAGGAATATCTTGTGTGCCTGTGCTTGGTAGATATAGGATAGTAACATGCTTTTTGGAGCTCAGAAATATAATAATGTGCTCTAAAAGATAGCCGTATGACTGGTCACGTAGCATCCAGAAGGTACTTGGTCATTATACTCTCAGAAAACTGGGTAGCCTCGTGTCAAAGTGAGATGTTCTAAGGGCACACTTAAGCAATTATCTCAGTGAAGCAATCCACAATCAACTGAAATTTAATACTTAGGGAGAAAACGGACACAAATATTCTTATCTTCTGTAACTCTCTAAGTCAGTATAGTAGTTTGTGTGAGCCAAGAGACAGACACTCACTGCTATAAGGAGCATGTTTTTAAGGAAGAGAGACTTGTGGACTCTCATCAGAGCTGGATTGAGCTGCATAACCATAGCTAAAGGTCCTGGAGGGGGACAGGGTGGCAGTGATGGGTAGGTGGTAGAGACCGTTAAGTACTACACATAGCTCCGTGTTTCACTTAAGACATGGTCAGGAGAAATGAAGATTAAAGATAGCTAGAGTTAGGTAGAGAACAGGTGAAAGAGAAGTAGAGGCTGGGGATATTGGTCAGTGGTAGAATGCTTGTGCAAAGCCCTGGGTTCAATCCTCAGTACTGTCAAAAAAAAATAGGAGTAAAGAAAACATAAGTGAAACCAGATGTGGTAGTAGCAGTGAGTCCCCAGCACCACAAAAGGGGAAAAAAAGAGGATATATGGCCTTATCTTCATGTGTCACCTATATACCTCTCCAGATCAATAAATCAATGAAAATACCTTTTTTTTTTCTTTTTTAGTGGTAATAGGGTTTGAACTCGGGCCTCACGCCCGCTAGGCAGGCCCTCTACCACTCGAGCCACTCTGCCAGCCCTTTACTGTGTTGGGTAATTTTGAGATAGGGTCTCAAGAACTATTTGCCAGGGCTGGCTTTGAATTTTGGTCCCCCTGATCTCTGCCTCCTGTGTAGCTGGGATTATAGGTATTAGCACTGGTGCCTGGCTCATGAAAATATTTTTTCACATATTTTCCATCAAAATGATGAAGAGTGTGTTAGTTTCCCATTACTTAAAGAAATATAGGCGATAATCAACTTCTGAAGAGAAATAGTTTGTTGGAGCTCACAATTTTGGATGTTCCAGCCCGTGGTTGATTGGCCCTGTTGCTTTGGGCTTGTGACAGGGAGACATGTCATGCTCAAGTCATGGCAGTAAGAGGGGAAGGGGGGTGACCTCCCACAAGGCCCTGCCCCTTAGAGTTTCCACCCCCAACTAAAGCACCAAGCTGGAGACTAAGCCTTTAACAGATAGGTCTCCAGATCGAAACCATAGAGAGAGACACTGGGCCACTAAAGGGAACAAAATTGCACTTGGCAAATCCACCTGGGGTGAGGCCTGACTGTTGTTAAAATCCCCATTGAACTCACACAACTGATCCACCCACGTGAAGCTGCAGGGGGTGGTGGGGCAAGCCCTTCACACTTCAGCAAGTAGTCTGTTTACATGGAAGCCACTGTTCATAGTTGCAGGTTCTAGCTCGTGGATGCCTCTCAGACTTCCCAAGGCTCTGAGTCCCCTCTGTTCTGGAGAAGCACTCTTAAATAGTCTTGTATCCCTGCTTTGTCTCCCCCACCCCAGGTTATCCCATGCTGTGTGAAAGGACCTGCCTCAGTAAAACACATCTGGGGAACGCTATGTTCTTACTGCTGATTTTGAGGAGTCTGGTGCACACGGGTGCAATGGCAGGCATCGACCTAGCTGAGAGGTGCTGGGAAAGGAAACCCTCAGCAGTTCCCAAATCTAAATCCCCTTCCCGGCCTCATCACCGCCCCCAGGGCACCCATCAGCCCTTGGTGGGCTCTAGTGCTCTCTGGTATTGGGAAAATGTGTTTCACAGATGCAGCCACGCGTCCTGGCCTGGGGAGAGGACGACCAGCGCCTGCACAACTTACCTGGACATCTACTTAACATCCTGAGCGCTGAGGCTTTTGCTCAGATTTGGCTTCTTGGTGCAGTTGTTGAGCTTTTGCCCTATCATTCTCCGGATAGAAACGTCGTCTGCGCTGGGAAAAAGCTGCTTTGTCACTCCTGTGAAGAACAACAGTCACACACGAAAGCACTTTGTCACTTCTGTGAAGGACAGAGGCCACACACGCAAACACTTTACGAGCCTTTTGCATCTTCAAGTAAGACATCGGTCTACATCATACTTTTTGTCCATTTTCCAAAAGTCTCCCACACTCCCGGGAGATAGCTAAATAGATGAGTGTATAAGCAGGTTTTTCACAGTAAGACAAAAGATAGCAAAATTGTAAATTCACAGCACACTTCTGTTTTGTGTGGTGACACTCAGCTTCACTACTGGCTTGGAACTCTCAGTGTCTTCCTCTAAATATTATGGATTTGTTTTCATCCATCCCTTACATCAATTGAAACAGCTGAATTCTGAATGACCATTTTCCTTCTTTTGGCAATACTTGGGTTTAACTCAGGACCTTGTGCTTGCCAGGCAGGTGCTCTACCACTTGAGCCATGCCCCCAACCCCCAAATGATCATTTTTACAACTAAAAAATGGCATGCATACAGCTTGGGTTCTGAGAATCTCTTAATTTTTTGGATTATTTGCAAAAAAAGAAGTAACTGGATGATCTAGACAATTATACTGAAGGAGGTTTACTAACTTAAAAACCAAAAACAGGATAGTCAAATTAATCTCTTTCTAGAGTAAAAGATGAGGGATATGACTAAGATAAGAAAGAGAAAACAAGAATTTTACTGTCAAAATTTTACTTTAAAATGTTTTATTTTCTGAAGCTATGAATTTTCAGTCATATAAGCTTTAGTCTTATTTTTGGCTGCACTGAGGTTTGAACTCAGGGCCTCCTGTTTGCTAGGCAGATGCTCTACCACTTGAGCCATGCCCCCAGCCCTTTTTTAGTTTTGCTTTATTTATTTGCCCAATAAGGTCTTGCATTTTTGACAACAGAACCTACCCCAGACCTCATTCATCCTACCTACGCCCCCATGTATCTGGGATTATAATGTGTGCCACCACACCTGTCTTGTTGGTTGAAATGTGGTCTCAACAACTTTTGCCCAGGCTGGCCTCAAATCTTGATTCTCCTGATTTCTGCCACCCAAGTAGCTGGGATTACAGGTGTAAGCCATCGCACCCAGTCTAAACTTCGCTTTTATTTTAATAACAATTGTAATCAGCTTTTCTACAAGTCTTCCCATATTTCATGAGAGCACTAGTGCAATCTAAAATCTTTCTTTCACAGAAAAATAAGTTTGACAAAAAAGGCCATGAAAGAATGAGTTGACCCTGACCGACAACTTCATTTCAAAAGAGGCCATGAAAGAATGAGTTGACCCTGACCGACAACTTCATTTCAAATGCACATGGAATTATCACCTATGATTTCTTGAACTTCATTCTGATTCATAGCTGGTTTTACCGCTTTGTCCCTTGACGTGGAGGACTTGGCGCCGGTCAGGCTGTGTGTGGCCATGTACTCACTGGAGTACAGAACTTGCATTAAGTCATTGATAAACTTCTGAGGCTTGCTCTTATTGCAACGGGCTATCTGCCATTTTTCGATCTTGAACTAAAAATCAAAAAAAGAAAGAATAATTGAAATTAGAAAAAGAAAAATGACCTCTGGAGACGTATATATTTCTAATTGAGTGCCGGCCTACCAGAGAACAATGTAACATTCTTTACGGTGATTGATTATTTTTTACAAATATTTTACATTCCAGGGGTTAGCGTGAAATGTAACCTTTGTGATAATTCTCAGTATTTGTGAGGTATTATTTCCAGGGTATCTGCAAATGCTCATCCTGTAATCCTAAGTAGTGTGCTAGGGACAGGTTCTATCCATAACACTTTCTTCTAAGCATGGCTGGCAGAATAACGGCTCTGAAGGTGCCCACCTCTGTATCCCTGGTTCCTGTGAATAAGCTCCGTCACAGGGCAAAAGCAATGCGGTAGATGTGGCTGAAGTACTTGAGATGGGAGATAGCCCTGCATCACCAGGTGTCCCCAATCTACACACGAGTCCTTAACAGCAGAAGAGGAAGGCAGAAGGATGCCAGAAAGAGAGAGAGGAGGAAAGCCTTGGAGAGTGGGAAGGACTGGACCAGTTTGACTGGCTTTGGTGTTGGCAGAAGTGGGCTGTGAACCAAGGGATGTCATTGCTGTAGGAGTGGGAATGGCCTTCAGGATATAGCCAGCAAGAACACGGGAAATTCAGCTCTACAACTGCAAGAAACCGAATTCCACAACACCTAAACAAGCAGGACGGGGTTCCCTTAGAGCCTCCAGGAAGGAGTACACCTGCTGGCATCTTGACGTCAGGCCAGTGAGATGGCATCTGACTCCTGACCCACACAACTCTGAAATTATCAACTCTTGTTCCTTGAAATCACAAACTTGTGGTAATCTGGTACCTAGCGGTAGGAAACTGGCATAGGAAGTTTCAAATATTCCGAATATTAGATGGTAGCACTTAATTATCACATTTGTTGCAGGGGGGTTGTTTTGTTTTTTGTTTTTGCATACTGGGTTTGAATCCAGGGCTTTGTGCTTGCTGGGCAGGTGCTCTAGCACTTGAGCTACACATCCCCTAATTATGATTTACGAAGGCATATTTTCTAAGACTGATACATGATTTTAAAAAAAGTCTTATCTTTTTAGCTTCTGACTTTTAAAAAAATGTTTTATTAGTATCTGATAGTTATACAGGGCTTCTGTTGTGACTTTTCCATATACACATATATTGTACCCTGGTTTGGTTCATCCCTCCATTATTCCCTTCTTCCTCTCCCCCTTCTTAAAATGACCTCACCTGGTTTCGATGTTCCATATTCATGTGTGTACACACAATACATTGACCATATTCAGCCTCCTTTGCCCTCTTCATTTACCCCTCTCCTGCTCGTGCCCTCCCCTAAACATGACCTGATTTACATCCTCTCCCCGCTCATCACACCAGGATCTGAACTCAGGCCTTATGAAAACTTTAACTAGTCTAACCCTCTACTACTCTTCTTTCCCCTTTGCCCCTTACCCTGCATTCTTCACGTTTTCAGTGTGTTTCGTCATGTCTTGTTCCTACACAGATGCATTTCAATGTTGTTCACTCTGACTTTTGATTGAAAAGAGAGAAGAGCAAAGGAATATGCAGAGACTGAGGCTTACCTTGTCTTAATGATATAAAAGTTATAACCCTTAATGCATAGGTTTAAGATCTTACAGTCTAAAAACTTCTCTAGCCAGGCACTGGTGGCTCCCAAGTAGTAGTAACCCTAGCTACTTGAGAGGCTGAAATGGGGAAGATTGGGGTCCAGGCTGACCTGGGTAAAAAGTGAGACCTTATCCCCAAAATAACCAGAAAAAGGGGGGGACTGGAGGTGTAAGTCAAATGGTAGGCATCCGCCTAGCAAGTACCAAGCCCTGAGTTCAAACTCCAGTACCATACAAAAAGAAAAAGAGAGAAAGAACCCAAAAGTGAACTTCATCTTTGTCCACAATTTTGCACTAGTTTTCTAAACTTGGTATTTATTTCACAAATATTAACTCGTTCTGTGCAATAGGAAGTTAATGGCTAGGACCTGAACTTGCCTAAAAGTTGTTTGACAGGACAATGGGCTTTGTGCTTCCCTGTGTTCCAGAGAACCAGGCAGGTGTTCACTGACCTGCTTCTCATCCCCAGGGAGCTCCTCCCCGGCCTTCAAGGAGATGGGTGAGCTGGAGTTGGAGTTGCTGCACGTGGAGGCAAAGGAGTCTGGGGAGGAGTTGTTTGTGGCTCTCCAGAGGGTGGACGCAGATGTGGACATGGTGCCTCCACTCTTCAGCAGGGTCTCAGCCATACCGACCAATTCCTCAAACTGGGCAACCGCCTGCGGCAGCACTAAAATGGAAGACAGAGGTGTTTGCAGACATGTTAACGACAGGTACTTCTCCATGTGTTTAGGTTGTGCGCACAGAACCCTGTGAGACACTAGCCGTGCTAATGGCTTCCGAGGCTCTAATGGGGAAAGCAAATTTATTTACTTTTTAATATTAATTAAATCAATTTTAGTACTAATTTATTATTAAATTAAATTTAATGTTAATTAAAAATTTAATAATTGCTGAATAATAAAAATGAACTTTTAAACATTTGGCTATTATATTTAAATGCATATGCATTACTTTGAAAAAGTTAGTTCCATGAGCTGGGAACTAACTTCAAGTAGTTCAAGTGCTAGAGCACCTGCCTAGCAAGCACAAGGCCCTGAGTTCAAATCCCAGTGCCACAAAAAAAGCTGATTTTCTTGTTTAGAGACATTACTGTTTCTATTATCAATCAACTTCTAGAAGTTCGTATTAGACCAGTGTAAGTGCCAAGAATGGAAAGAGTCCCTAATTGGGCATTGGATTAAAATAAATTTCTTTTGACATTTGTGTATGGTTTGCCAGGGGTGCAAATTCTATCAAACTAGTAAAATGTAATTTTAAATGTTAGTATAATTTAATTTGCAACTATTTAATTATCGTGAAGATATATATGCATATATATTTGTTTTTTGATTATTTGAATTCCTTTTTAAAAATTATTTAGTAGACCATGGGACACTACTACTTGTTATTTTGTAAGCACTTACACGGTTTTTGTAAAGTACTTACAAGAATGGCTGGCGCTCCATGTGTTAGCTTTCTGTATTAAGCATCTTAAGTGTTCACTCGTTTTACGTTGCTGTTTGGTTAGGATATGACATGACACCCACCGGTTCATGTGTTAAAGGTTTGGTCCCAAGCTGGGAAACGATTGGACTTGGAGGGCTGTGCCCTCATCAGTGCATGAATACGCGATGGAGTCATTATTTGATGGCGTTGTTGAGAGGTGGTGGAGGCTCCTGGGGGGGGCCACTTGGAAGAAGTAGTTCTTGGGGTTATGTTTTGTCCCTGCGCCCTCCTCTGCCTCTCTCCACTTCCTGGCCACCATGAGAGGAGCAACCTTGCTCCTTCCTGTTCTTCCACCATGATGTTCTCTCTCACCATGGCCTAGAAACAGCAGAGCCAGCAGACCATGAACTGAATCCTCTGAAACCATGAGCCAGATTCCTCCTTTAGGTGGTTTCTTTCAGATATTTGAGCATAGTGACAAACCCCCAAGGAACACAGTTGGAAATACTTTTCTGAGTGTTTAACATTTCTTTTTACCACATTTTAAAGGCACATGTAAAAATCTGTGTGTGTCAGCATGCTTCTGTAGTCCCTGCCACTTGGAGGCTGAGACAGGAGAATCCCTTAAGTGTAAGAGTTCGAGACACACCTGGCAACATTGGGAGACCCTGTCTCAAAATCTATTCATGAGGCTGGGATATGTGGCTCAGTGTTAAAGCACTTTCCATGTATGCAAGACTCTGGGTTCGATCCTCACCACTGCAAAACATGTTTAAAAATAAAATAATGTAAAAGTGTGTGCAGTTTTAGTGTCTATTTTAAAGTATTAGTATTTTCTTAGTGAAATTTCCATTTATTTTATGCTCAAAATCATTCATCATTGAACTGAATTAAATACTTAAGCATCTTTTTTTTCAAATAAGCTCTTTTCCCTTGGAGAAATAGATAATTTTTTAAATGGAAAATTTTACACACAAACAAAAATAGTAAAATTCACTAGTTTCTACTCACAGTCAATCTTGTTCTGTCTATACTGCATCTAATTTCTTCTTACCTCTAAATATTTCTTTTTATTTTATCATTTTTACATTTACTCACATGTGTATGCATCGTTTGGCCCCCCTTCACCCTCCCCCACCCTCTTGTTCTCCAATTTTGTTGAAAAGAAAACATAGGAGATAATAAGAAAGACATAGCATTTTTGCTAGCTTGAGGTAAAGATAGCTATGCAGAGAGATTCCTAGAGCTGCTTCCATGCACTTGTGTATTACAATCCACATTGGTTCATCTCTACCAGACCTTTTCACTACTTCCTAGTCCCCTTCCCATTGTGGCCTCGGCCCGTTTAAGATTATTTTAATAGCTCCTCTACAGTGAGCACATCAACCACATTTAAGTTTTAGGTTTCCTTCACTTTCCCTATTCCTCCGTGCATGTTCTTCCCTTAGTGTGTGACCAATGTCCAACAATATTACTGCATTTGTTTTATTACCTGTAAATATTTTTGTATGAACTTGTAAAAGATGATCAATTTACAAAAATAACTAGCATCACTGCCACAGCTAGATATAATTAACAATACTTCTTAATGTCATTAAGAAGCCTAGTAAATGTTCAAATTTCTCTGATTCGGCTGCATTTTCCTTTTCAGCACTGTTTGGATCAGGATCCACTAAGGACATATGTCGTGAATGGTTTCTCACAGTCTGGATTTTGCTGATTTTACCTCTAAGATGGTATGTAACATGTTTCTGTTCTTTGTAGTTGATGTAGATTGGTGGTTAGATTTAAAGGCTTGGTCGGCATCCAGAGGAATTGTAATTTCCATCAGGGGGGATTTCATGCATGGTTAGTTTTTTTTTGTTGGTTTTTTTTTATGATATTAGCAGCCACCAAGGATCACTGCTTAGATTCGTCATATTACTTGGGGTTGACAAATGGTAATATTCTTCTCTATCTATTAGCTGGAATTTGTCCATGAACAGAAGCTTCCTCTCATCAACATTTGGTTGCTTGGAGGCTCGTGTCATACAGTAAGAGCAGAATAAATACTTCCATCTTTTGATCTGCACTTTCCAGTTTTCAGAGTAATGAATTGGTTTTTTCTTTTTTGAATGCCATTCTGAACTCATGCATTTAAACATACACAATGTTTCTATGTTTTGTGGTTATCATTCTTTTTGATGCTCAAACTGTTTCATCTTTGACCAGTGGGAAGCTCTTCTAGTTCAGATATCCACATTGTTGCCTTGCTAAACTTTCTTGCTTTCTGGTATGACAAGATGTGTTTACTGTTCTGAGATCCTGGCAAGTGGCACGTGGTGTGCTTACTCTGGTCTTCTGGAAGCAAGACTAAAGCCAAGAAACTTCAATCCTGTTAGTGGGAAATAAGATGCAGGCTCGTAATCAGGTGCTAGAAATTCTCTTTGCTATAGAGTTCTTGTTTCTAGACCTATTCAGCGAATAGTGTTAAGAAATTTATGATATTACTTTTTTTGCTATTGCTGACAATATTTAACCATAATATTGATTAAGTGTTTAAAAAATCGCTTTCCATAAACTTCCTAGAAAAGGGGAACATGACATTTTTGGGACTATCTGGCATTTGGGCTGAATCTTCTTTAGCCCTTCAAAAGCTTCATAGATTTGACCACAAAATACATTTCTAATTCTTCTTTTAGTTTCCTACTTCTTTTCTAAAGCATTAAGTCCTAATCTAAATTAATTAAACAATCTCTTATTTAGTATCAGTTGTATAAACCCTGACTTCCTTTGCATACCGCTGCACTGTATTAGACTTTTAACCTCCCCAAATTTTGTTTGCAAGTACGAAAACTGGCAAGTGAGACATTAAAACAAACATGTAGTAATATCTGTCTGTTGTCATCATTTACCTGGGTCTTTTTCACTTCAAAATCATTAATATTGCTTTCAATATGTCAGTTGCAGACTTTTCCCTGTTCGAGGGCATTAGCAAGTCATGTTAATATCTGGATAAGAAGCTATCTGTGACATCTCTTCTATAACCTCTCTACATCTGTTTCTTAACCTCTAAAATGGAAAAAATAAAGTTACTCACCTGGGTGACAGGTAAGCCGCTCTGAGCAGAGTCTGGCATACAGCACGTGCTCTATAAAATTTAGTTGTTATAAAACTTAATTGTTGATGGATTTCTCACAGATTCTGTCTCAGAACATTCTTAATTAATCTTGCCTGTTTATTATTTTGGTTAATATAAGAATAAATTTGGTTAATTATTTAAACAAAATGATCATAGATATTTTGATTGGGAATGTAGGCAAACGGTTAGCTATCGATTGGGGCATTTTTTCTTCCCTTCTAGGAGTGTATATCTCTACATTTACTTAGGTTTATGTATTTCTCACTTTTATATTTTTCTTCACGTATCCCACACATTTTTCTATGGTAATTAGTCTGTATTTATAGCTGTTTGCAATGAATGTGAATAGATTCTCTTTTCTCTCTTTTAGGAAAATACTGGCAATTTCTGGTATATCAGAAAATTACTAATAATTTTAACTAGCCAGGCACTAGTGGCTCACACCTGTAATCCTAGTTACTCAGGAGGCAGAGATGGGGAGGATCCTGGTTTGAGGCACCATGGGCAAAAAGTCCACAAGGGCCTATTTCAATCAATGACTGGGCACAGTGCACACCTGTTATCCCAGCTACAAGGGAGACTGAGATCAGGATGATTGTGGCTCCAGGCCAGCCCAGGGCAACAGCAAAAAAAATATTCACAAGACCCCATCTCAATAGATTAAGCCAGTCACCTCATATCTGCTTTCCAATTTAAAAATTTTGTGTGTAGGTGAAACTTTATTGTTTTTTTATTTTTGAAACTATGTATTTTTAATGGACCTCAGGTCAGCCCAGGCAAAAAGTTGGTGAGACCCCATCTCAACAAGTAAGCTGAGTTTGTACACTTGGCATCCCAGCCTAAGTAGGAGGATCACAGTCCGAGGCTGACCCTGGGCAAAAACATGAGACCCTATCTGGAAAATAACTGAAGCCTAAAAGTGTTGGTAGAGTGGCTAAGTGATGGAGTACCTGCCAAGCAAGTGCAAGTCTTTAATAAATATTCTTAGGAAAACATGTGATCAACTCCTCAGTCACCACCATACTCTGCCTATCATTTCTTTCTCCAAATATTGTGAAACTGCCCTTTTTATTTCTTTCCAGACATTGTCCAGGGGCAGGCTGCTACCAGATCAGTCCTGATGACGTAACACGTTTCTCGTGGCTCTTCCTCACCTTCTTTCTTGTGCCACTTGTCCCCATTCTGTGCACAGCAGCCAGAGGTATGTATTTTCAAATATTTCTGTGAATTTACTGTTTTATAGCACAGTTTACCCAACATAGGATAAAATTGTTAACTGGTCAGCAGCACAAAATCGTGCATTGTTCTTAACTAGGAATGGAAACTAATTTTTCAAAAAATAAACACTCAAATACAACATAGATCCTCCCAAAAGGAACTGAGCTGAGTGGTTTCTAATTTGCCAAGCTGATCTTTCTCCGATGGAAGGCAGTTACTTTCCCAACAGAAAACGGTCCATACTGGACTACGACACGCCAGTATTCCAGAGCCTCCCCAAGCCGGCAGGAAGAGCTATGTGCCTATTTCTAGTCTTTTCTCTCTGGGGTCTAGCATATGAACGAGTAGCTTACATCAAGTATTTGCTCAACAAACATCTGTTGAACATTATTAAGTGAATACAAAATTTGGTACTTTGTAGGAAAATCTGGAAATTTTTTGAGCAATAAACTAGATGCATCCATATTTAAATTTTATAATCAAGTGATTTTCTTAAAATGTGATTTTGAGCTCTCTCAGGTACTGGTTTTCTTTTTCATTCTTTTTATTTTATTGTTGTGCTAGGCAGGGGTGCATTGTGGCGTTTACAAAAGTTCTTACAATGTATCAAATATGTCATACTTGAATTTGTCATCTCCATCTTTCTCCTTTATCCTCCCTCCACCCATTCCTGGAATAGTTTCCACAGGTCTCATTTTTCCATTTACATACATTTGTACACAATATTTGCACATATTCACCCCCCTCATCCTTTCCCTCCCTCCCCCCTTCCACTGGTACCAATCCTCCCCAGGCAGGACCTGTTCCCCCCTCCTGTTCTCTGATTTTGCAAAAGAAAAAAAATGACACTTTTGTTTGTTTAAGATAGCTACACAGGGAGTTTCCTTGTGACGACATTTCCATGTATATATGTATTTTAACCCAAACTGGTTCTTTTTCATTCTTGACAGCTGATTGGCAGTGCTCTTCACTGATCACACATTTCCCCTCTCCTCCAAAATGCCAGTTTTCTGAGTTTACCTTGTAGCATGACCAAAGACTGTCGAAGCCGGCTGTTTTCTTTCCGGGTGTTTGTCAGTTTTTCTTTCAGGCTCTTTATCTTGGCACACAACTCCTCCTTGGACAGTTCTGACAAAGGCGCTTCGTCCTCACTGGAGCTCTCTCCGGGCAGAAAGGCGTTTCCTGAGTACGGGTCTCTCTACAACACAAGGCAGGCACGACAAAGAACCTTCACAGCATGTCTTGGCTTATCCCTGGTCTGTGTGCCCAGGGGACTTAATGCCACTTAGCCATTCCTGCTACTGTGCAGCCCAGCTTTGTCCTCCACCAGGGAGGACACTTAATAAAGCAGGAAGACTTAAGAAGTTACTGTTTCTGTATTCCAGCTACAATTAGTAACAGTGTTCAAAGGGATGCCATTAAGGCAGGGCCGTAGTGACCTGTAGGGATAAGTGTTGGGGGAGGAGCTAAGGGGGATTTTTGGGGTGCTGGTGATTTTCTGATTTTTGATATGGATGTGTTCAGTTTCTGATAATTCATCAAACTGTGTGTATGTATGTATGTACGTATTCGGGGGGGACTGGAGTTTGAACTCAGGGCTTCACACTTGCAAAGCAGGCACTCTATCACTTGAGCCACACCTCTAGCCCATTTTGCTGTGGTTATTTTGGAAATGGGGTCTCATGAACTATTTGCCTGGGATAGCCTGGAACAACGATCCTCCCAATCTCAGCTTTGCTAGCAATGAGGAAAACAGATGTGAGAGCCACCACTGCCCAGCTCGAACTGTATATTTTTGATATGTGCCCTCTTCTGTATGTATATTATACTCCCACAAAATGTTCCTCTGAAATCTCCAGGAAATAAATTTTATAGTTCTTCATGATAGTTTCCAATCCCTAGAGCCTATTTTGTATTTATGCTTAGGTTTGGTTTTAAGAATAGATGTCATTAATGCATAACAAAAGATGTACAAGATCTTTGTGAAGAAAATAAAAGAATAAATCAAAATCGAGAACTTTTATGTATTAAAAAACATTAAAGGCAAAAGACACACAGAACCAGTGGCGATGTTTCCAATATTGTTAGCTGAGAAAGATAAATATTTTTCTTCAAATCCAGAAGGAAAAACGAACCCACCAATCCAATAGAAAACTGAGTAAATAACATGAACAAGCCTTTTATGGAATAGAAAATACACAGTCTGATAAGAACCCATGGAGATTTCAACCTCACCAGCAATCAGGGCAAAGGAGATCAAGATCACAGTGAAAGATCATTTGGGGCAAGAATTAAGGAGTTTGACAAAGCTAAGCATAAAGTAGACATGAACCACTGTCATTTCCTCTATGTGCCTGATGGACATAAAACTGATATACTACTTTGGAAAGCATTATATTACCATACAAAGTCTAATATTCACCTAACATCTGATCCTAAAATTGATTCCTGGATCTTTATGTAAAAGAAACTTTTAGTGTATGTATACAAGGAAGTAAGCCCAAGGTCTTCAAGAGCAACGTGCTTTGTGATGCGGAAAATCTGAAAACAACCTAATCACCTTTTGACAGGACGATGGGTAGGTGACTTGTGCTAGAGACATGTAGGTGGATTTACACAGATGTGACTGTAAATAAGTTATAGCCGTAATGAATTAGTCCTTAGCAAAATGTTCAGTGTAAAAAGCAAGTTCCAGAGGTAAACATACGATACAGGATACTTTTTGTAAAGTCAAGAATAAATAAGCCAGATGTGGTGACAACTGTATACTTGTAAGTCTCAGCTCCTTGGGAGACTGAGGCAGGAGGATCCACTGAACCCTTAGTTCAAGGCCAACATAGCAAGATACTTTCTTTTAAAAAAGGACAAATAAAATTAATGATATACTAGACACATATATTATATACAATGTGTAATCCATAATATATAATAGATATTTATGTATATTGTGCCTTTTAAATATAAATTAAAATAAAAGCAGGCTAGGGATATAGTAGATTTCTTGCCTAGCATGCTCAAGGCCCAGTCCTCAGTGGTGGGTCAGGAGCAGGGGGTAGTAAATTAGACACAAAATTGAGCAGGGTTACATCTGGAATGAGGCAGGAGGGGTGGGAAGGGATGGGAATGTGGGTAACTACAAGTTATACTTATGCTCTAGGTTTGGGGTGGGCATCAATTTTATTAGAATTCATTAATTTTTTAAATAAAAAATAAACTTGACAGAAGACTATGTATATATATATATATATTTGTTAGACATATATATATATAAGTCTAGCATACCACATTGGACATAGAGACATTCAATGACAGTTATTAGTGAGTTGGGATTTGAGATGACTTCCTTGTTTGTTCCTCATCCCCATCATGTCCTCTCTGTTGGGACCCTGCCACAAAGCTAATTTGAGGATTACTGCATCAGAGAAAAGACAGAAGGAAAGCTCTTATGTTTACCTTTTAGTTTTAAAAGTAGTTTTTAAGGTCAGTAGCAAGATAATATGTTGAAAACATGCTTTTGAGTTGTGAAGTCCAAACTGTGTTGAGATTAAAAAATTTTTTCTCAAACTACTAAGGTGGCATAACTAAACCTGGAAAATTAGAGTAGTGAGTAGAATTTATACAGATAAGAACCTAGATGTGTAAAGCATAAAGTTTTAAAAGTAAACCTGAGAGCAAAAGAAAGAAAGGCAAAGGCCACGCTGCTGTTGGAAGGACAGCCTGGGGAAGAAAGAGGTGGAACTTCAGGAAGTCACATGCACGTTTCTGTGCCCCTTCTGTCCTGGCCCTTTAGGAGGGAGATGGATCTCAGGTGAGAGTGTGTGATATGAACCTCCAGAAAAAGGGGCAATCCCAAGCAGCAGGGCTAGCTCCTTGCTTATTTGTACTTTCTAAGCTCTCTGGGGAGGCCCCATGTCAGGACAACATGTCACCTCTCTGGACCATGGATCAGAAATGGATGAACTGGCGTTTGACCAATAGACTGAAGACAGCACGCAGACTCTCCAGAGCTTATGCACAAGGGTTCTTATGTCCTGGTCAGGAGATGGGTAAGTGCTGGGGGAACCTGATGAAACAGAAACAGCTCAGTTGCATATGTGGATCCACAGGTGCCAGGATCTTATGGAAGATGGCAGTGGGTATCAGGACAGCAAACCTCAGCAACAGGTGCAATGGTCCTTAAAGGGCCAGCAGTAACACTGAGGGACACCTAGGAAGTTAAAACCTCAGCAGAGGACTGATGACCTTCCTTGGGATGTGAGCTGACATGTAAGACTTCCCAAAACCTGGATCACTTCCCAAGAAAAAATGTGGGAAGTTAAGGAGAGTAAGAATCCAGGACTGATTGAAGTTCACATCCCAAGTGACTGGAGTAATAACTCCAGCTACTGTTTCAAAGCAGAGCACAAACTATAACTCATCGTGAGTGGACAAGTTTAGTTTTTTTGGTTTTTTTGTCTTGTCAAGAGGGATGAAAAATTGAAAATTAGATAAGTTATAGAAAACATAATTACATTTTTGTATGATTTTGGTATGTACATTTAACCCTTATTTTATAAATATATGTACATGTACATATAGTTTATATGTTTCATTATTATACATGTGTGTTGGTATATAATGAAAATTACTATTATCACATATGAGCAAATAGACAAATAAATCCCAAGGAAAAAAATTGATGTATTTGATTAAATATAAATGAAGGATATTTTTTAAAATGAAAAATGCCTATTGAGACCATAATTCTATACACGGTAACTGCTCTTATTCTCTTTAGTAAGCTTTAGCAAGTTCCTACAAGAAAGAAAGGAAATTAGGCAAAAGTTAATCTATTTGTAAGCTTCAATGAAAGGAAGGAATTAAAGTCAAGAGATAAATATCAGAATGGGAGAAGATGTTTGTAATGTATTAAACTTAATTGCAATAGGCTAATTTCCACAATAGATAAGGTATTTGTAATAAGCACAGAACAAGAAATCCACCAGAAGAGACCATGAAAACCAAGAGGAAATACAAGAACCCAAAAGAAAAATGGACATTGGCCAAGACTGCTCACTATCTCCAGAAATCTGCTCTTCCATTCTTCCGTGGAAAGAGGTGTTCAGCTGAGACACAGCTGTCAGCTAAAGGTTTCACTTCCCAGACACCCACAGGGCTCACTGCGGCGATGTGAGTAAGTCACTCTAAGAGCAGAAGCCAGCACTGGTCCATAACCTTGAAGGAGCAGTGTGTCTTCTCCAGACGGAGTCTTTTCTTTCTGAGAGGAAGGCAAGATGACAGTGGGAACAGTGATGGACCCAGAAACAGAGGCTGTGTTGAGGAACGTAGGTCCAGTGATTGGGACTCAACACCATGGGGTCGAGTGGAGCTGCCCTGTCAACTCCAGATGGAAGATACACTTCTACCTCACATGAGCCACTGTTGTGGTTTTCGTGTCTTTGTTAGCCTTTGTGACACGTTGTCACTACAATTCCAGAATTTGGCATGCAGAATCAGGAACACCTAAAACCTGAAACAGTTTGAAATACAAAGAGGGGAGATGGTGAGCAAGAGGGCATGGAAAAAGCAAGCTAGGAAGCCACTGACTCATGTTAGACTTTGCTGACATAATTGGTAAAACTGTTAATGAATTCCTTTGAAGGGAGACCACACACCTATGGAGCTTTGAAGAAGAATTTTGGTATGTTTCAGCTGCTCCATGTCAGGGCTAGCCAGCGTGCAAGTGGACATGTGAGCTGTAGGAGAAGCGTGCAATCTAAATGGACTGAGTCCAGAATGCTAAATCTTCGTGGTCTGAAAAAACAAAACAAAAACCCAAGTACTTCTATGTCCAAACAGCAGGGGACAAGCTATGACCTTGACACTTTCTCAAGACTTCATTTGCACGTTCTCTGCCAGGCAACCACATCCGGCCTAGTAGGGCGCTTCAGATTCGAGATGTTGCCTTTAAGGTTTTGTTTCATACAGCCTTTAGGTGACTGTCATAAGCTGGACAGAAAAGAAGCTGAACATAGATACCATAAAAAAGAAGAGTCTTTCAGACCTAAAAAATGTGGCCATGTGAGAACTCTAGCTGCAGTGGATTGCAATGGAATCAAATAGACGCAGGTAGTTTGGAAAGCTATTAAGTTTTTGACAGAAACAGATTGCTAAAGACACCCCAACACTGTGCTACGAGAGCATGTGATAATTTTATCCTGAGCACCTCGGGATAATGAGGTGCACCAGCAAATGACAACCAATGAGATAGCAAATTGGCAAAAAGTAGAAATATGAACATTAATGCTCAGTGTTGGGAGAGAAGTTGGTAGAATGCTCTGTGCATTGCTCCTGGTCATGTAGACTGATGTGAGCATTCTGAAAAGCAATCTTAGAATATCTAGTCAGATGAACTAGAAGTTAACATATAATTTATAAGCCAAAGTAATCTTCCTGTGTATTTACCCAGAGAAATCCTCAGGCTGTTTCTTAAAGGGACCTGTGTGAGGATTTGTTTTGCTATGGTTTGTGGTGACAAGATGATGGAGGCAATCTAGATGTCCATTGCTGGACAAAAAAATGAATAAAACATGACACATGCAGAGTTAGGTGCATGGATCAGATGTACATGTAGCAATAGAGATAGACAGATATTAAAAACAGCACTGACTGTATGCACACAACCTAAGAGTCCATGAGCAGGTGAGTTGATACTCATAATGGAGTATTACTCAGCCACAAGGAAGAGCAAAATCATGACATTTGTGGGAAAATGGGTATAACTGAAGGTCATAATGTTTAACAAAATAAGCCACACTCAGAAAGACAAATATCCTATTTTCTGTCATATGTGGAATCTAGATTTTAAAAAAGACATAAAAGTAGAACAAGGACTACTTAGGAAGAGGAAGGAGACCAAGAGAAAGGTGGAAAGAAGGGACAAGAGAAGGTGATGGGGTAAGAGAAGGTGATGGGGTGAATGTGACCACAGCAATATGCTAATAAAATAAATGAAGAAAGAAAGTATGGTATATATACATATATTACACAATGTAATATTGTTCAGCCCTAAAAAAAAGAATAGGACCTTGCTACTTATGATAATATGGATGAGCCTGGAGGACATTAAGTCAAGTGAAATAAGCCAGACACAGAAAGAAAAATATCACATGATATCATTTACATGACTCTAAAATGAAACAAAGGAAACAAAACTCCCAAATACACAGTTGCAGAGAATGAAACCTTGGTGCACCACTTGCAGGTGGGAGGTGTGTCAGGATACAGGGAGGTTATGTCAGAGGATACAAATCTGAACAGTCTGGGGACCTAACAATGAGCAACTTGAGGACTATAGGTAATAAAACTATCCTATATTTGGGACTGATGCTAAATGAGTGGATTTTAGTGCCCTGGTCCTAAAAACAACCCCCAAAGTGAATAACTATATAAGGTGACAGTAAAGTGAATTTATTTTGCTATAATAACATTTTATGCTATTTACATATGTCACATAACATGCCATTTATCTGAAATGCCATCAACAAAAAATTATCTTAAAAAACAATGCTGATTGAAAAAAGCAGAAACAAATTAAGGTTTTACTGTGACATTAGCAGGCTACTAGGTGATGGATATGAGAGTTGTCTTTGCAGTATGGTTTATAATAAGAAAAATGTTGAAAACAGCCCTGTCTACCATAGGGTTCTGGATAGATAAAGGATGATACAGATTGAGGAACAATATGGAGCCATAAAAAGACAAGCTATCCACTAATGGAAAGATATTCAAAAACTACTAAGTAAAAACTTGAAGTAAAAAGCAGCACATACAGTAAATTACTTTTGTTCCAAAGTGGGAATAAGAACACCTATTCAGATTTGCTTTATTTGAACAAAGAAACATGGGAAGAATAAACAAGAAAGCAATAAACGTGTTTACCTGTGTAGGGGTGTGTTTATGGGGTGGAATAAGGGTCAGGAATGAGAGGGAGACTTCACTGTTTACACTTATTTTAAACTGTAAGAATATCATACTCATTTAAAGAATCAAGGATATATGAACATAAAATGCTTTATGCATTACAAAGGCATACACAAATTCACACATTATAAAGACTTATAAATTTAAAAATACAGAAAAAACCCATATTGATAGACTGTCCAAAGTACAGGAAGGAATGGGATGATGAGGGGGGGGTCATGAATTGGGATCTAAAAAGAAAAGAAAAGCTATTCCAATTTCTCCAACATTTTGGGCACATTTGGCCACTGGTAAACAGAAAATTGTCTATTGAGTGTGTTTCTAACTCAGCCTGTTCAACACTAAGAGGAGGACATGAATTATATTCCCTCAGTTAAATAAAAGATGGAAAGGGTTTTGTAAGTCCCACAACATACCCCAGAACAACAACAGCAACAAAGAATTAAAAGGAAGGGTAAGAGTACTAGTAAATTATGAACAGAATTAATGGTTGAACTAGATTATAAAATCGGATCATGGTGATGGAAAACCAACCTGTCCTTTATCCATGTCACAGTTGGCGTTTTCTGAGTCTGTGGTCTCTGTCCTTTTTCTCTTTCCTTTTCTAAGAGCTTGGGTATCAATGATTTCATCTGTTTGTGAGATCTTCTGCATTTTCTCAATTAGTTATCAGAAGTTTTCTGAACAGGTGGGAGGCAGGGATGCCCATGTGGATGATGTTATGCGGGATGTAGCCCAAAAGTTAATGTTCTTCCTTAAAAACGAAACCAAAAAAGAACATGTGACATATTTACAACTGTTTCACAATGGCACTCCCTATTCAGGAAAACCACTTTATTGCACGTTTCCTATTTCCTTCCTCCCACTGACCAATTCAATATCATCTATATTTGACTCAAGTCTTTCCATTTCATTATCACCACAAGATGTTTGTGTTGTGATATGCAAAATCACATAGTGTAAAAACTCTTCCATCTTTATAAGGAACTCAGGGCCTACACATGAGCAACTCCACCAGCCCTTTTTTTGTGATGGGTTTTTTCAAGATAGGGTCTCACGGACTATTTGCCCAGGCTGGCTTTGAACTTTGATCCACCTGATCTCTGCTTCCTGAGCAGTTAGAATTACAGGTATGAGCCACTGGCACCCAGCTTATAAGTTTTTTCTTGTCAAAGAGCTATGAGCAGTCTAAAACACAAAGTAAAAAAGTATAAATTTATATAAATGGTACCACAAAGGACTGAAGTTGCATTTTTATGAAAAAGATGTGAAAAATAGCAGACCTCAGTAGAAAGAAAGACCAACAAAACATTCCAGGGAGATCAGTAAGAATTGCTTAGTTTTTTTTTTTAATTTAAATTTATGGATTTTTTTTCTCATTAACACAGTGTCGAGATGGAAGATTTTCCTTGTTGCAAACTGAAAAATTGTATTCCAAGGATGGAAACAATGACATTTAACTTTTGCTATGTACAGACGAAGGAGCACATTAGGTCTTCAGATCCTCAGTACTTGTAAATACTATTTTTTTTCAAGAAAAAACCTAATTGTAAGCAAGAAAACTTTAACTATGAAAGGGACCGAGCTTAGAAATCATCAAGAAATACATGAACAGTTGAAGAGCAGGTAACGTTCACTTCTTATCAAATTCCAATAAGTAGTTATCTCAGAATATATGGCTGTTTTGTCTGTTTTCAGTGAAACACATTACACTCTACCCCAAGCATAAAAATAGTGCTGGAATGGTCTTGCCAAAATTGCTTGCTTGTACTCTGTTTTGGAAGCTTTCTTTAGGCTTTCAAATAAATTAATAGTGCTTGAGTTTACACCAGGACTGGCTGTTCTGCTGATCGGGCTCAAATACCACAGGTATCGCCCAATATCATGCTCCACCCATGATATCAAAGGTATAAGCAACTAAGAGACACAGGCAAAGCAGGGAGAGGTCCAGGGCCTCATGCTGGCTTCCTGCATCCTTCTGTGGTCAGGAGAGAGGGTGAGGCCTCTAGATTAGGTCTGAGGAACATCTCATACAGTGGCAAAGGTTTAAGTTGTGACTTATCTCCATCTTATAACTCAGGGTTGTGTAGCATGCATGACACTTCTAGTCAGCTATGTCCATAAATTCTAGGTAGATTTGCCATAGTAACTTTAAACCAAGGAGGTACTGTTAAAAGCCTTTCATAAATGTAAACTCATCCTAGTAAATATCGTTAGTTGACTGTAAACCTTGAGTTCAACCCCCAGTACCAATGAGAAAATAAATAAATAAAAATAAATCTTGAGAGAGTCCAAGATGGCAACTAGAGGGAGGAAGCAGAAAGTGTGCTTCCTAAAGTAAAATCTTGGAGAGACACTGGAGATACACCTGGCAGGAAAAACCTCCAAGAAGAGGCAAAACTCAGACACCTCCACACCCCCAGCCCACACATAGCATCCCCACTCCACGTTAAACAGAGAAACCAGGAGGGCTCCCGCACTGCCAGATGCCAGCTTCTACCCTGCTTGGGAGAAGCAAACCACCAGGTGAGCTAAGTGGCACGTGGTACTCCCACAGACAGCCATGGGCTAGATCAGCATAGCCCCTGGACAGACTGACCCCCACCCAGGGAAAAAAGAGAAAAAAAAAACTGAATAATAAACAAGCAGCTAAAAAAAATGACACATAGCAAAGAGGGCGGGGTGCCCATAGCTTTGGAGAGTCAGGGAGGGGACTCCCTCAAGGAACTGTAAATAAACACGCCGGCTGGAGAAGGAGGAGTGGCACCACCTCCCCCAGTGTGCTTGGAGAGGGGAAGGCTTCCAAAGGTGGCTAAAGTGTGGCACGCTCCACTGGAGAGGGGCGAGGGGCAACTCCACACACGAACTGTAAAATAATAAAAAGACTGCAGTTACAACAGGTGGGTAGGGCTGTATACTGGAGAAAACAAAAGGGGCATGTGTCCAGGAGAACTCTAAATAAAGACTACGGGGCTAGGTGAGTGTTAAGCTCACTCTTGAGATCTGCAATAAATAAAGCCTCCAGCAACAGCAGGCTGACAGTAGGTGGCAGGTGAGCCGCAGCCTCACATAGACATTCACAAAGCTGTCTCCAGACTTTTTTTTTTTCTTTTCCTTTGATGAGACAACAACAGAACTAGGACTGGATGCTGAAGGACTAACTGAAATTGTATTGCATTTGAACTTGGGATTTTTGGTTTTTGTTTTGTTTTTCCCTTTGATGAGACAACAACAGAATTACTTCTTAGACACCAACACCAGGACTGGAAGCTGAAGGACTAACACCAAAATTATTAACACTGAAACTTTATTGCATTTAAACTTGGGTATTATTATTATTATTATTATTATTATTATTATTATCCTCTCTCTGTCTCTCTAATGCCTATTTAGCTTACTGTTGATTAATCTCTCCCTGTTTATTTCTTTGGCTCTGTTTTTTGTTTGTTTGTTTGTTTGTTTTGTCTTTTCCCTTTTTCTTTACCTGCTTTGCTTTCCCTCTCCTCTCACCCTTCCATTCTAGATATCATCATTGTTACTATTACAGGCTAGATAATACATTACAGTATTATTACAGTACAGGGACAGTAACAATAGCAAGGGCAATGATGGGAAAATGGAAAAAAGAGGGAAAACAGTTTCCCCACAGCAAAAAATTAGTACAGGAACCAGAGGGAAATGAAGAAAACAGATGCCCAGATCCAGACTCCAACAAAACAAAGATAAACTATGCCAAAGAACCCAATGAAGCCCATAAGAACACCTGAAAGAAGAAATCCTGCAAGTAATCAATGAGAATTTTATACAGAGGATACTGGATATGGTCAACCAAAATGTACAGGAGACACTTAAGAAATTCAAAGACAACAAAAATGGAGAATTTGAGAAAGCACAAGAACAAATAAAAGAAACTATAGCAGCACTGTATAAACACCAAAGTGAAACAAAGAACATGATAAATAAAGAGGTAAATGAACTCAGGATGAAAATAGACAATATTAAAGAGGCAGAAACTCAGGATATGGAAAACCTCAGAAAAAAGAACAAAACAGAAATGCAAAACAAAGTGGAAGGCCAATCCAGCAGACTAGAACAAGCAGAAGACAGAATCTCAGAACTCGAAGATGAAATGGTAACTAAAGGAAAAACTGAAGAACTATTAGGTAAACAACAAAAGACCTGTGAAAAGAAAATGCAAGAATTCACTGACTCCATCAAATGACCAAACTGAGAATCATGGGCATTGAGGAAGGAGAAGAGGTGCAAGCAAAAGGAATGCATAATATATTCAACAAAATAATAACAGAAAATTTCCCACATCTAGAGAAAACTATGCCCATACAGATACAGGAAGCCTCCAGAACTCCAAACAGACCTGACCAAAATAGAACTACCCCATGACATATTATAATTAAAACAACAAGTACAGAGACTAGAGAAAGAGTATTGAAGGCTGTAACAGAGAAAAAACAAGTAACACACAAAGGTAAACCCATCAAAATCACAGCAGACTTCTCAACAGAAACATTAAAAGCAAGAAGAGCGTGGGGTGAGATCTTCCGGGCACTGAATGAAAATAACTTCAACCTCAGGATACTCTACCCAGCAAAGCTATCATTCAAAATAGACGGAGCAATAAAAGTCTTCCATGATAAGCAGAAACTAAAACAATATGTGACCACAAAGCCACCATTACAAAAGATTCTTCAAGGGATTCTGCACACAGAAAGTGACACCCAACTTAACCATGAAAGGACAGGCAGCACCAAACCACAGGAAAAGAAAAAGCAAGACAGTAGAGAGTAACCTCAACTTAGGTACACACAATCAAACCTTCAAACAACTAAGACAACTAAATGACAGGAATCACCACACACCTATCAGTACTAACACTTAATGTTAACGGACTTAATTCACCCATCAAAAGCCACCGCTTGACGAGATGGATTAAAAAGGAAGATCCAACAATTTGTTGCTTACAAGAGACCCATCTCACTGACAGAAATAAGCATAGGCTAAAGATGAAAGGATGGAAGAAGATTTACCAAGCCAATGGCCCCCGAAAACAGGCAGGAGTAGCAATACTTATCTCTGACAAAGTAGACTTCAAACCTACATTGATCAAACAAGATAAAGAAGGACATTCCATACTAATAAAAGGGGAAATTCACCAAAAGGAAATAACAATAATCAACCTATATGCACCCAATGTCAATGCACCCAATTTCATCAAACATACCCTGAAAGACCTTAAAGGATATATTATTCCAACACAGTGGTTGTGGGAGACTAGAACACCCCATTATCATCAATAGATAGGTCATCCAAACAAAAAATCAATAAAGAAATCCAAGATCTAAAATATACAATAGATCAAATGGACCTAGTTGATGTTACAGAACATTTTATCCAATGCCAACATCATACTTAATGGTGAAAAATTGAAACCATTCCCTCTAAAATCAGGAACGAGACAAAGATGCCCACTATTTCCACTCCTATTCAACATAGTACTGGAATTTCTGCCAGAGAAATAAGACAAGAAGAAGGAATAAAAGGAATACAAATAGGTAAAGAAACTGTCAAAATATCCCTATTTGCAGATGATATGATCCTATACCTTAAAGACCCAAAAAACTCTACTCAAAAGCTCA